AACTGTAAAACCGTTGCCTCCCCCCCCCGGCTGGGTGTCTGCCCGCCGCCAGGTGACCTGCTTTTATTTTTTATAATTTTTATTCTTGTTACTGTTGTTATTCCCCGCCCCTCCAGGCTGGGCGGGCAGGGTGGGTCCCAGCGGACCGGGCAGCTCCGCAGCCAGAAGTTGGTGAGGGGCGTGAGGGGAGACAGACCCGAACTTGGGGTCCCTCAAACTTCCCTGCCCGAGGAAGCCGCCCCCGCGGCCGCGCCGCCGCTCCGCTCCTCTCCGCTCCTCTCCGCTCCTCTCCTCTCCTTGCAGATGTCGGGGGTGCTGGTAATCGCTGCCTGGTGCTTCCTGCAAGTGGAGAGCCGTCATCCTGAAATCATCACGAGTAATAGCAATCATGGCAATTTCCTGGACAACGACAAATGGCTGAGCACCGTTTCGCAGTACGATAAAGACAAGTACTGGAACAAATTCAGGGATGTAAGTACTTCTCCCTTTACCGCATCCTTCTTGCTTGTTCCTTTTGGCCGTAGCATCCTTTCAGCGGGAGGCTGCGGGCTTTTAGAAGCTGTGGGGAGAAGAGAGATGCAGCTTGGGCAACCGGTTGCTGCTCGTTGTGAAGGATGTTCAGAGCTGTTCGGAAGCTGGACAGTCAGTCCGGGTATTCTCGATTTACCCCAGCGATAGGGGCACTTTGGGCTCCGTGTTGGTCTCGCTGAAAGAGTATGGGCTTCAGTTTTCCTTTGGGGAGGAACTTTGAGCGAAGTTTCTGTGCCTGCTGCTTAAGAGGCTAGTTAACTGTAAAATGATGATACGGTGTGTGTGTAAGAAGGGAATATTTACCAGTTCAGGCCACAAGGTGGTAAACAGTGAAGCTTTTTTTTTTTTTGCCTGCAGATTTGGTGGAAAAAATATTTTATTGTCAATTCTGCTCATGGAGATCTTTGACGCTGGTATATATGCTTTGACTCAGGTTTTTTTCAGTCTGGAAAACAGGGGTAGCTTCAAGATGCGTTATGACATCCAAATCACTTTTTTTTTTTTAAAGCTTAAATTTAATTCTTGAATTCCCCTAGTTTGAATACAATTGCGTGTATTAAGTCAATCACTGGAGAAAGGGAAATGCAACGTTTGTGGGAAATGTAATATTTACAGAGCTTCTATTGCTTTTGTTTATACACTGAAAAAGCTTTCTTGGAGCGCACACAGAAAACGCTGCTTCAGTCTGCCCGAGGCTGGATAAGGAAAACATTACTGTTAACGTTGATCATGAGCACGTTGAGGTTAAGTGTTCTTATCGCGTGGGATTTGTGAGCTGTGGCTGGAAAGGGAAGAGCAGAGCTGGCTAGCAGCTCTGCGAGTCCTATTCTGTAACACTGTTTGTTTGGTTAGGAAGCTCTGGTGTTTTGTAATATATTAAGTTAAACTTTGATGCTTTGCGTTTGTCTCTGCGGTCTTACCACTGTATCTTACTTTGCAAAGAGGAAGCCAGAGTATTACAGTTAAATGTGATTTGTCTCCTTAGCTTATTCTCTCGACATTTTTTCTGTAGTTGTGGTCATCTCTGAGAAATCATGCTGCGCTGAATCTCAATATAACAAAGTATGGCCTTAACAAGTATCAACAGATGTGTCAGATTGTATATTTGTGTGCAGTCACTGTGATGACATCCACCCACTGGGACTGTTGAAGTTCTGTGTAATAGGTGTCTGGAAAAGCCCATGCTTTTACAGTAGCTACTATTTATTAAGGGGATTCTACAGTTAATACAGATTCATAGATTTTTACCAGGCTCCAAGGGAGTCTTTGTTAATATCTGGTTTAGTTTCCTGGGGAACGCAAGTTAAGGATTTAACTTGATGTAAAAATTCAGCAGCATTTGAAAATGGTAAATTGAATGAAGGACTGAGAAATTAATCCAAACCCACTTTTAACTAGGAACAGATTTACAGAAAGAGGCATTTTTTAACAGTCTCCTTCCAAATTGAGGCCTTGCGTTAATCACACTTTTTGAGCTTAAAGTTTTTATTTTTTTTTTTTTTTTTTTTTTTTTAAGCTTGGAGTCCTTGCAACTTCTGTTCTCATCCCCCATCCCCAATCTCACATGTGCAATTGTCAGAGAAATTATTCTACTTGCTGTGGAAGACGTTTGTGAAGATTGCCTCTTCCATGTGTTAAGGTTTCCCATCTGAAAATACTTTTATAGACTTTCTGAAAACGCTAACAAAAACTGGAAAGCCTCAAAACTCTTTTCTATAGGAAAAATCATATTATGGGGAAAAAAACCTCTTAACCAGTCCTCTGCCAAGCAAAAGCAAATAGTATAAAGTTCATGCAGAGTTTAGGTATCTTTCTACTTAGCTGTCTTAATGATTTTATTTAATTGCTTCAAAACTAGCATGTTATGAATGCATATGATTACCCATGAAACCTTTTATGGGGCAAATTAACAGATACTACTAATCACCTTCTACTAAGCTTTTTCCAAAAAGAAAATATAAAAAGCTTGCATATGGAATTAAGCTCTTAATAACTTTTCCCCAACCAAAGCGATTTACTGCATCATAATCTCCTGTGAGAGGTTCTGTGTCCACAGATGAAGACATGCATAGGTAGTGTTGCTGCCAGTGTAGTAGGTATAGGAGAGATAGCACGCTTCTTGCATGCAGAGATGTCATTAGAAGAAATCTGATCCTTGCTTCACACCTGTGTTGTCAGGGATAGATTATTAAGACATTTGTTAAAACACTGGTGAGATGCAACATAACAGGATTAACTGCTATGGATGGGGTAGACTAGCATTTCATTCATAATTGTTGAATTGTAGGGAAACTATCTTCCCTTCCTTCCCAAACTGACACTATATATATATATATATATATATATATATATATACGTATATATATATATATATATATATATATACACACACTTACATCATGACTAGATGAGGTTCTCAATGTGAGCTTTGCCCAGGAGGCTGGAGTATAGAAGAAATGTTTCAGTTAAAACCTTCTTGGGTCTGACACTATAGCTACTACAGAGCAGGAGGCCTAGTTTGTACCTTGTAAATCAGCAGAAGGAAGGTTGCAGTAATTATCATCATTACCTTTAGTAGCTTTCAGAGCTTTATGTCATGTTATATAAACAAAACTGCACAAATATTTACATAACTGTGTCTTTATGTACAGTAGGAGAAACACTCGGTGTGGAGCTCAGATTTGTTTGTTTTGGGTGTGGCCACTTTAAACTCTGTCCCTGCCTGCAGCACAAACATCTGCTCACACCTATGTGCCTATAAATCTGTTGTAATGTTGTAGTACTGGGTGGGTTTTTTTACAGATGATATATAATTGAATATAAAATTTTAAATTGGGCTTCTCTCAACTTTTTTGGGTTATTCTTTTCAAAATCAATTGGTTGGTCAACCTTATTGAGCTATTGTCCAATATGGCCTGATTTGAGAAGACAGCTATTGATCGGCTTTTTTAGTACAACCCATATTTCTTTTGGGCAAAGACAGCATGGTAGTTGCACTTAATGGCCCAGTAGCCATTACTCTTCTGTGAAAAGAGAGCACAGAAGTATACCTCATTTGAAGTCTGCATTACATCCACATAACGGGGCTAAATTTTTAAGTCTGACTGAATTTAATAGTCTGAAATGTTGACCTGTTGACATTTTCAGAAGGCCTCAAGGAATTGGTTTAAAACAGTACTTCACAATACAATCTTTTCACAATTTGAACACAATTTGTAGAATATTCAAGTGTTCCATTTAAAAAAAACCAAGCAGAGCCTGGAAATGAAGAATAAGATCAATGGGACTTACCTGTTGTGAGGCACATGCTGTTGAAAATCTTGTATATTGTCCAGCTGTCCAGTATCAATAATGGTGTAATATCTGATGTATTAATAAGCTTTCAGTACGATCTGAACTTGATAATCCTGTCTTTGACCCCTTTTTCTTGTCTGCTGTGGGTTTTCTGTGTGATAAATCACAAAATCTTAGCCTTGCCTTAAGTCCCATTTTACAGCTGGGGATGGTAGTATTTCTCTTCCTCACAGTTGTGTGTTGGAAGCTGTAAAAAAGAAAGGACAGAGCTCAGGATCTGTGGTAATATGGAATTTGTTATTCACCTAATCCATTTATTGAATGTAGCTTGATACATACTTAAGTAACTGACTAGGTCTAGTTTAATATATTTATTACTAGAAAAAGGAAAAAAAAAAAGTAAGCAAGTTGGAGTCTGTAGGACGGACTGCATCTATTTCCTTTGTATAGATTTGAGGCTTGGGAAAGCAGACATCAGGAATATGAGAACCAAATGAGACCTTGTGATATTATGAACACAAATGTTAAGGCCTCAATCTTTCAATCAAATCTGTTGAGAGATATCCTTTGGCTTAAGAGGAGTTTCAGTGCAAATTCGACACTTGAATGTGAAGTGAATTCTGATGAGTCCTAGAAAGTATTTATTATGGGAATAGCTGTACGCGTTATTGTAATAGGTCACACTGCAGCATCTCATTGCGTTCACAGAGGCTTGGCACGGAAGGCATAGAATAAGTGTCCTCTTAGTGTTAGGCCTGTCTTTAATCAAAATTATATGAACAGACTAATTCTATTACTTCTACTTGGAGTTATGTTATATTATTAATGCTTAAATAGAAAAAGGTAATAAGTTCAACTAGCTATGGATTAAACTGCAAAAAGGAAGGAAAAAAGCTAATCGAACTTGGAGGATCTAGTATAAACCATACAAGGAATATCTGTGAAGTTGAAAGCTAAGAATCTTGGCATGAACTCTGGTTTCAGTGCATGTTGATGCATGGCAGCCTGCCAGACCACGTTCTGAGCATTAACTAAGCTGTTTCTTTAAATTTTATTGCTTACAGAGTTTCAGTTCCAGGCTATCATGTTAAAACCCCTGTGCATTATATGCCTGGAGATGCTTTGAGACTATCATCTGTGTGTATACATTTCTGACTGGCTGTGGATAAACAGTTACATATAACTATCAGCAACATGAATAGTTATATATAAATAGATTAGATTAGGTACTAGATTTTCCAGGTTGGTCATGGACTACCATCCCCTGATGCAATCCACTGAAGGGACGATTTGTTGGTTATTCATGTATGTCACGTTTCTGAGCCTGTAAATTCCTCCTCACACCTGATCAGATGTACCAGTGATAGGTGATAAGCAAATACAGGACTAGGAACTGTGGGACCTATATTGTTCCAGCTTTGCCACTGATGGATTGTTGGGATTTGGGCTGGCTTTTCACACTTCTTCACTGCTTTTCCTCTTGTTGCGCTTTCTCTGATTTGTTTAGCCAAAAATTAGAAGTGTGGTAGTGAAACTTGATAGCAGAGAGCTGGAAAACATGACCAATACTGAGAAGGGTTGGAATACCAAGCAGGAAGAATTGGAAGACCTTGGGAACTCAAGTAATATAAATGAAATGAAATTTA